TTGATGGTAGTTACCTAGGACATGTTGATGGTAGTTACCTCGGACTATGATGATGGTAGTTACCTAGGACATGTTGATGGTAGTTACCTAGAACATGCAAAAATAAAAATGCGGGAAAAATAAAAGTAAAGTATAGACAAAATGTATACTTAACGAAGCGAAATTCGCTCTTTTCTTGTCACACGGATTCCACCAGGTGTCTTTTCTCTTGCCCTCAGTGGCGGGCAAATCACAGATGGTCCATTGTTCTTAACAGCAAACAACCCAACCTATTTATTTGTCTTCTATCAATCCAGGTACATTAATTGCCACTTCCCAAAGCGAGAAGCGCGGTCACTGCTTGCGGCAACGGGACATGAGCTTGGACCCTCGAGTCCACAGTCCAGTACACAAGACACTAGACCACGCCTAGCTCGTAGAACTTATAGAGATTGTAATACCCGCTATAATGTTTCAACTGTGGTGCATTTTTTGTAAGTGAGACCAGCGATCTGACGATCGTTTCCTGTCACCTGGCAACCCACTCGAAACGTTGGACTTCGTAGTCTACGACTGATAAAAGTATTTATTCATTATTCTGCCACTAGCGAGTGATAAAGTCACACGGGACACATTGATGTTTAGCCTTCATAAACTCTCATATTCACCTAAAAACTCACAAATATGAATTCTCCTGTAGCGTTGATGAAATACGCCATTTTTACTTTGAACTTTTTATTATGGGTAAGTAGGCTTTCCTTAATATAAAAAATATATGTTACTAAATATATAACGCATAGTATTTGTTGCATTCAGTGCTAAATTAGCTATAACTGAAAAAGGAAAACTGAAATCCAAGAAAGGTAAAATTCACAGAATGGCTTTTAATTTTGGCCAGTATTATGAAGCGAAATTACTTCAAAAAAATCAAGATTTTTTTTTTTAGAAATAGCGTTCTTTCCAACTGTTGTTTAGTCACAGAATAGGCTAACTAATTAAATTTGTTCAGTCGAGGAATTCGCGCATTTAAAGAATCTGAATTAATCTTTTTGAGCGTGTATATGGAGTAAATGAATTCCAATTGTTTTTGTTTTTGAATTATCTACATTTTTGTTACTTAGGTTCGGTTTGAACTTATTCCAAACATTCTATCTGCCTGTTTTTTGTTGTTAATTATTCCAAGTTAAAACTTAAGTTAAAAGATGATAAAAACTAAAGAAGATTGTAAGTATTATTACGAGTAGGCTTAGATTAGTTTTCAGCTTTGTTGTAAGTAGTTCTGTCACATTGTTAACCCTACTGACTACGAAACCGCGAAAAGAAATATGTGCAAGATCGATATTACGAAAAACCTGGGAGTGAAACACCTTGGAGTGAAAATGAAGTTAGTTAAGACCATTGATCTCCTTATTTAAATTCACCAGAGAAACTTAATTAAGTTTTATTTTTTTCTCTTTCATGAAATCTTATTATCATTGAACTTATGATAACTGTACTTTTCTTATTTGTAAATTTCTTATTTTAGTTGAACACAAGTTTCGATTTTTGTAGTATTAGACAATTTGTCTTCAAAAGCTACAAACTCCCTAATGTAAGGGATTATGCGTACTGAACATACGACGTAATTACTAGCACTTCGTTGGTCGTCAAGAGATACCATTAACTACATCTGGTGGCCATCTGGTGGTGGGAAGATTCTGATTTAAACCATTTCACTGGTTCTTGCTTTTGCAGAAAGTGAATTCCTAAGTTTACACCAGGATTACTGTGTGAAGTTTGTCACCTCACACAGAGGGACGTGACAGACTAATTTAACATGAAACATATTCCCGACTTCAGATTCGTTTCTATGACACATTTCACCTCACACAGAGGGACGTGACAGACTAATTTAACGTGAAACATATTCCCGACTTCAGATTCGTTTCCATGACACATTTCACTTCACACAGAGAGACGTGACAGACTAATTTAATATGAAACATATTCCCGACTTCAGATTCGTTTCCATGACACATTTCATCTCACACAGAGAGACGTGACAGACTAATTTAACATGAAACATATTCCCGACTTCAGATTCGTTTCCATGACACATTTCATCTCACACAGAGAAACGTGACAGACTAATTTAACATGAAACATATTCCCGACTTCAGATTCGTTTCCATGACACATTTCCAGAGTTAGTGTGCTTATCTTTGTTGTCAAGTACACAGCTACTCGATGGGCTATCTGTGCTGAGCCCACCATGATATTGAGACCTGGTTTTTAGCGTTATAAGCCCTCACACTTACCGCTGAGCCACTAGGGGGCAGTCATTCTACAATTGCTTATTACTAGCATTTTTGTTTGTTAGTTTTTTGAATTTATTGTTTGTTTTTGAATTTCGCGCAAAGCTACACGAGGGCTATCTGCACTAGCCGTCCCTAATTTAGCAGTGTAAGACTAGAGGGAAGGCAGCTAGTCATCACCACCCACCGCCAACTCTTGGGCTACTCTTTTACCAACAAATAGTGGGATTGACCGTCACATTATAACGCCCCCACGGCTGAAAGGGCGAGCATGTTTGGTGTGACAGAGATTCGAACCCGCGACCCTCAGATTGCCAGACTCCAGCCAATATTTCTAACACTAATATTATGACAGATCTATAAGTTCAACCACAAGTAATGTTAATCATGCATAAGTACGCGTATAGCAATTAAAAATACATAAACATATTAAACATAAATTATATTTCGTGAAATAATTTATTTGTTTATTTATTTTATTTGGTAACCATAGACGAATTGCTTATAATATTATAACGGACCGGGCATGGCCTTAGGATTAGCGTGTCTGGGCTGTGAATTCGAAGATAACGACTTTACGAAAGCGACCCGTAAAATCCACTCTTCCCTCTTCCCCCTGTGAGTCAGCGGTAATCTTACAGACTTACAATGATAAAATCCTATGTTTTATTCCTTGCGGTGGACGGAGTTCAAATAGCCCATTATGCAGCTCTGAGCTAAAGGCGCAAGTAAACAAACCTAATGAGTTAACCTCTTACAAACACCTCTAGTACAAAAGACAAAACGATCGACCTATCTTGGAAGAAACACCAGATCTACCGACGCTTTCAAAACCTGATTATCGGGGGCAAGCGTTAACATTCAACAGGGTGACGGTACGAGTATCAAATTGTCTATAAAACAATGAAGAAATGCACACACACAAAGCCTTAACACATAAACACTACTGTCTGAGATGGGGATCTGACGGACGACACACATCTAATCCCACTCTTCTTTTACGCATATGGGGACGACATCCGTACTTCCCTACTCCTAATTTCATTTTTTAAAGACAATAAAGTTTGTAGATGGCTAGCGAAAGAAGCTTTGTTACAAATGTGCAACGTTTCGTCAAGCTTTCGTCATCATCATCATTTTCAAAAATGTGGGTCATCAGACAGTTTAACGAAGTTTAAAAGAGTTCCCCACGTGTTACTCTTTTTAATTATTTGAATGAAGAAAATGGAAAAGTAAAGATATCATGTACTTAACAGATCTACTCTGTTACTGACTATTATTCAATTCATGGGCGCAAGCAGAAAGGGGCAAGAGAGGGCAGTTGCTCCCCCCTTACATTTCACAAAAGCTTTCACGTAGTATGAGGTAAACTTAACATCGTAGTTAATCTAAATATTTTCATTAAAACTGTAAATGTGTGTTTGTGTTTAAGCACACAGAACACGTATTATTTTAGTCTGTTAATTTACACTGTAAAAACTGATTCATACAACTGGACTTTTGTTACAAAATCAACCGTCATACCTAGCGTGGCAAATCAGGTTGCTACACCAACTTGAAATGCAAACTGCTTGTTACAGAATCGTATAAGTGTTCTTAAATATGATATATTAACTTAAACACATTTAAAACAAGGACGTTCACTAGTTACTTTGGCTTTATCAATGTCCAACGGTCAACAGTTATTTTATCAACTAATCATAGTTCTCGGTAAAATACGTAAATAAATACTTATGACGTTATGAGTTTTATGACTAACACATGCACGTGCAATAGATAATCACTGTTACGAGGATCTATGCACATAAAGTTAACATAAGGCTATTACTGTTTCTAAATCAACAGTATTCTAAACACAGAAATGTTTGCTTTAAACCACTAATGGTTTAACCAATCGTGCTACACATGGTGATAACATTTCACTATTTTTTTTAAAACAACCATTTCTCTGGTCTCCCTTCATGCTTCGGACACAGAATAAACTATGGGAACATTTAGGTGGTATCAATTTTTGACATATGCACCAAAATCAAGGATGGAGCGAGAGACCCTAAATGTCCAGTGAAGCTGGATTAACACATATATGTAAATTATTTCCAGTGAAACTGGATTAACACATATACGTAAATTATTTCCAGTGAAGCCGGATTAACACATATACGTAAATTATTTCCAGTGAAGCTGGATTAACACATATACGTAGATTATTTCCAGTGAAGCTGGATTAACACATATACGTAAATTATTTCCAGTGAAACTGGATTAACACATATACGTAAATTATTTCCAGTGAAGCCGGATTAACACATATACGTAAATTATTTCCAGTGAAGCCGGATTAACACATATATGTAAATTATTTCCAGTGAAGCCGGATTAACACATATACGTAAATTATTTCCAGTGGAGCTGGATTAACACATATACGTAAATTATACTATAGCGTAGGGCCTTAGCTGAATTGAGGGCTGAGGGAAAATCAGCCTTCTACTGCCCCCTTCCCATATCTTTTGCGAAACAGCATTATTGGTTAAAATGTCAGTTTTAAAATAACCTCCTTGATAGTTTTTAGCTTTTTATATTAACTTTGTTTTGTTTTTATGTCAAATCCACCCACTGCCGCATAAAGTGTATAGGCATACAGTAAACTATATACAAACTGAACAGTAAATAATGAGAGATTTTTTTAACATCGACTGAAATTCGAAGAATATCATCTTTTTTTCCTCTTTTTTTTTCATAAACTTTATGAAACATTTTCCTCACAAGCAACAATGTATTGACGATTTATAATCTGGTCAGATTTTCACTAATATTTTAAATTTAATTAAGGTCTGGATACAAGAATGTGCAATATTTTTTTTCACCTATATCTTAATTTGTGCATTGTGGAATTGAAATCAGAGGTGTTAAAGCCCCCCAGTGGCACAGTAGTATGTCTGCAGACTTACAACGCTAGAAACCGGCTTTCGATACCCGTGGTGGGCAGAGCACAGATAGCCCATTGTATAGCTTTGTGCTTAATTCAAAAAAAAACATAAAACAATACATCAGAGGTGTTAAAGACATTTACCCATTTACCCTAACACTTATAATCACTTTTAATAAATATAATTTAATAAATGAAGTTAATATTGAAAAGATAATTATTTAGGAGTCATAAGTTATCTTTCGCAAACATTTCTTTGCTCCAATCAGCTTGCAGTAGCTCAACAATAAAAAAAAAGAAAAGAAAAAACAATAGAGGCATTCTGAGTTCATCAAGAAATCTTGATTTTTTATAACGAGTATTTCTAGAGAGTTATCCTTGACAACCGAATATGAGATGTTTTTGAATAATATATGTACTTCTTTGTTTTGTTGTTTTTTTACAGAATCTAGGAGCGGCCTTATTTGGATTAGGGCTGTGGATCCGAACTGATGAAGACTTCTGGGAATATGAGAACAGTCTGTCGGTCCGAAACTATTACCAAGCTACGTACATTGTTATCGCTGTAGGGTCCATACTTCTTATCATTGGATTTATTGGTTGTTGCGGAGCTGCGACAGAAAGTCCGTGTCTACTTTTAACAGTAAGTACATTATAATATCGATTTGACTCGCAGCCTGAGGATCGGGGTTCGAATCCCCGTCCCTCCAAACATGCCTCCCCTTTCAGCGGTGGGGGCGTTATAATTTGAGGTTCAATCCCACTATTCATTGGTAAAAGAGTAGCCCAAGAGTTACTATTTTTTTGCTTTGAATTATAGCTATGGACCCCCTAGATACTTACGTGTCACGAGTAAATGTAAACAGAAATATTGTAATTTTTATTCCACTAATTACAGCTGAGGTTTTCTGTGTATTTTACTTAGAAAATGAGTGATTCACCCGATTATTTGAGTCAATTCCTTACAGTGATGTAATATGTCGACTCCGCCTGTAATAAACATTATATAAACCATTCGGTAAACTGGAGGTTAAGATAAATACAGAAGTCGATCTGAGGGTCGCGGGTTCGAATCCCCTCCCACCAAACATGCTCCCCCCTTTCAGCCGTTATAATGAGTCTATTCGTTGGTGGTGATGATTAGCTGCCTTCCCTCTAGTGTTACACTGCTAAATTAGGGACGGCTAGCGCAGATAGCCCTCGTGTAGCTTTGCGCGAAATTCAAAACAAACAAACAAATAGAAGTCGATATCAGGATACTGTTAATTTGACAAGTTACAGATATTCGGGTAGAATACAAAAAATAAATCAAGGAGTTTTTTAAGATGATTAATTGATATTTTTTTAATAAGTAGATGTATTATTGATTGAAGATATTTGTTATAATTCTTACAGTATTTTGTTACCATCTTCTTAATGGTCATTATGGAACTGGCCGCAGCTGTTCTTGTATGGAAAGCGACAAATGGAGACAAGGTAACTCTCTTTTCCACACTCTCTATCTCTTACTTGCTTGCTTACGTATTTATTCTCTTTGTGCAAGGTGTCATATTAGGCCTCTGTATCTCATTTATACTACATAATTTTAGTTTTTCACATAATATTTTTAAAATGTTTCTTCGTTTAGTAAGCTTTAATCATTAATTTATAAAACGTTGATGTAGTTTTATTGCCATATAAATTTAAAAAGATATACAGTATGGTCACGTGCTAGTAGTGTAGAATGTGATTGGTTGTCGTCCAACCAATCAGAAAGTGCCACGTCAATGAAAAGCCTATAAACGTACAGGCAGTCATACTATGCCAAGTAGTAGCGGTATAAATTCAGTCATAGGTTTCAGAATTAAAATATCGCATGACAAGCACGTACAAAGTGACGTTTTGACTGGTCAGAGTTACTTTAGTAGGAGATGTATGCAAGATCTGACGATGATACTTGAATTTGTTGATTAAAATGGAAGTCAAGGTACAAAAACGAAACTCTCGAAAAGTGATGTTACGTACCTCAAGGTCTGGTTTCAATAAGAAAAGATACTGACAAAGGCCTTGCTGTAAATATAGGTATGGATGTTATTTCGAGACATGGCATAAAGTGCTCTCTAAGACTGCTGGTAAGAAGAGATGATCAAATAAGTTGATATGGGCATCGTTCCATAAGAAATGTAATCGGTAAAGACTGTGTTCTTTACAGGTGAATCTAATTCCAACTGTTCATCACCAATCAACGACAGTTTGTTCGATATCATAGTCAGTGAACAACATCTACAACGAAGCATGGTGGTGTTTAGGTACAAGTTTTGGACAGCATCTTAGCCAACGGCATCTACATAGAAATAAAGGCACCCTGACAGCTGACGGGTACATGCAGATTCTGATATATCACGCCATTCCTCTAAAGGAACACGACTCATCAAGTGGAAATCCAAAAAACAGGAAATGTGGCGAAACCACTTGTTGATTGTAAAGAGGCTGATTTATGGTTTGTTCTACATAAAGTCCTGATATGTATATTATTAAGCTGTATGTTTAATAAAGTCAAAAGCTGACTGAATTAAGGGAAGTAATACAAGACACTTGAAGTAATGTTGCAGAATTATTCATTGATAAATGTATGGTAGTTAAAACAAGGTTTAATGGTCTGTGAAAATTAAAGGGCTCTCATACACAACACCAGTGTATTGTATATTAATGGTCTGTGAAAATCAAAGGTCTCGCATACACAACACCAGTGTATTGTATATTAATAGTCTGTGAAAATCAAAGGGTTCGCATACACAACACCAGTGTATTGTATATTAATGGTCTGTGAAAATCAAAGGTCTCGCATACACAACACCAGTGTATTGTATATTAATGGTCTGTGAAAATCAAAGGGCTCTCATACAACACCAGTGTATTGTATATTAATGGTCTGTGAAAATCAAAGGGCTCTCATACAACACCAGTGTGTTGTATATTAATGGTCTGTGAAAATCAAAGGTCTCGCATACACAACACCAGTGTATTGTATATTAATGGTCTGTGAAAATCAAAGGTCTCGCATACACAACACCAGTGTGTTGTATGTTAATGGTCTGTGAAAATCAAAGGTCTCGCATACACAACACCAGTGTATTGTATATAGCATTCTTCTTTGTTTGATATCTTGTATAATAATGTTTTGTACCGTTAGGAAATTTACTACCTAGTTCTAAACACTTTTTTTGGGACTCCTGTGTGCACATCGCTTGTATTTCCATATATATGTTTCCATTACTCTATGTAGTGTAGAGACTAAGTTTATTAACCCAAAGTCAGAGTTTAAAACGACCGAAAATTCTAAATTTGATTAATGTTTTACGAAGGTAGATGTATTACATGTATATATAGAATTTTGGTAGATATTTCGTCATCATAGAATTAATAACATTTACTACACACACACATGAAAAATAGGATACATCTACAATTAAATTGACTAGTCAAGAAGCATTTATGATGTATAATAACACATCTCCTTTTGTATCTGTGAAATTAATAGCGATATTTATTCAATACCAATGTTTTCATATACAGAAAAATCTGAATACCATAGTTTTTCAAAAGATGTTTCAAGACAGTTCTTAGCAGCGATTCAAATAATTTGTTACAAATCGAATCACTTATAATCTACTATATATGGTTTAAATTTATTCGTTTTCTATGCATGGTCACATTTGTGAAGAGATTCAAACCTAATTTTGCATGGCCACCCCACTTGGCCTACGGATGGCCATGAACTACTTAGTTTTTCAGTTGACCACCTACACAATATTGATCACCCGGAAGGTGGTGCATATGGAGAGCACCATCTCTGTGGGTGTTTATTCAAATGATCTGAAATGTGATATTCAGGCACCTAAGGTTAAATAATGGTGTTCTGTAATTAGCCAAAGATTATCAAAAGGTTATCACAGAAGTTGTAGAGACAATAAAGTTTATCACAGCAGTGCCATTCAAACAAGCCCACTTCAGGATCTCATCAGTTGACTTTACCTTTAGTACAAGTTAATTGGAATTCTATTTCAATGTGTGATCTGTATAAGCTTCACCTAACTTCCTATTAAAGAGCAAATTGGCCTAGATTACCCATCCTTTGTCTAACTCTTAAAATCTAACGAGCTATTACAAACCTTTCAGAAGAGAGTTCTTTTATGTATCTCACAGAAACTTTGTATAAGCAGCTTACCTTGCCACAGAGATAATAACTATGTATTCATTAAGCAATGTGTAGTGTGCAAAAAAGAAATAGGTGTTTAATATTTTATGGCCCAGGGGGTCCAATAAAGTTAATTTACTTAATAGGAGCTTACATAAGGCTGGTAAGAGCTGGGAAGGTAGATAAAAGATTCATGATACAAAAGGTATAACATAAAGAACAATGTCACATCTGGTCCCTTTTATTGAACAATAGGCCAGTTTTCTAACACTTTACTTCATATTGGCAATGGTCACAATTGAAAATGGGCTAAAAGCAAAGGTCTTTCCCAATGTCAAGGAACATCTCATAAGTCACAAGTGGCTTTGTAAAAAGAGTCATTCTTGCCCCTAAAAATGAATCAGTAAATGAAATTAACTCGTCCATGTTGAAACTATTACCTGGCCAAGTAAAAAGCTACAAGTCAGTTGATACTGTGATAAATCCTGATCAAGTTGTGCACTATCCATCAGAGGTGTTAAACTTTCTTGAACTTCCTGGTGTTCCTCCACACAACTTGGAGCTTAAGGTAAGTACACCCATAATGATCCTCCATAATATGGATCTTCCAAAACTTTACAATGGCACTAGATTGTGCATCAAACAACTATTGCCCCATGTTTTGGAGGTCACAATGGCACTAGACTGTGCATCAAACAACTATTGCCCCATGTTTTGGAGGCCACACTCTTCAGTGGAAGCTCCAAAAGTGAGGATGTCTTCATACCAAGAATACCCATCATCCATACGGATACTCCTTTTGAACTTAAACATTTACAGTTTCAAGTACGTTTATGTTTTGTTATGTCTATTAACAAGGCTCAAGGACAGTCACTGAAAGTGGTTGACTTTCTCTCATGGACACTTGTATGTTGGATGTCATAGAGTTAGTAACCCAAGCAATCTGTACATTCGTGCACCACAAAGCAAATCTTGTTTACCCTGAGGCATTGAGCAACTGATCATTTTTCCTTTGAACTTGAAAGAATAAAGGTTTTTGTGTGTTTAAGTTGTGATATTTCTGTCAGTTTTGTAAAAGAATAAAATCACTAAGGATTTCAAATGGAAGATTGATAGCTCGTTGAATTTGCAATAATTTTTGTCCCGGGTAATGCCGGGTACATTTGGTTAGTCAGATATAAAATATTAAACATCGTGTTGATTTCCTAAACGAAAAGTAGAATACAATTTAAATGTACAAACAAAGAAGCAAGTATCATAAACATAACAAATTATCTGAGTTTGGCTTAAAACTCGTGTTTCTATAGTTGTTCTTACATTACTGTGAAGTAAATTTTGCATCTACTACGTTACAGCCAAATTATTAGCAGCTTTGTGTTTGTTAAGTTTTACCATCAAAACGTGTAGTCTCGAAAATAAACGTTCTAGTTCCAGGATTGAAAAAAACAACAACATATTTTAACTTGAGATAGTTCTTTGTTTCTAGTTTAAAGAATGACTTATTTTTTATGCATTCTTTACAGCTCCAAAAGTTCCTGACCGATCAGATAGAGATAGAATTAGAAAAACAACAGTATGATGAGAATTCCCGGCGTTTCATGGATCTCATGCAGATTCACGTAAGAAAGATACTTTAAGACTCATTTCTCTTGTCGTTTCATAAAATGGGTAAGGCGCAACAAAGAGTCTAAGGCTCGAGACGTGATACCACTGAATACATTCCGCTGGGCGCGTTTTAAAAGACACAGTCAACCCTGTTATTCGATTTAAAAAAAAAACGGACAAAGGATTTGTGTTGACTTGTGCTGCTAGCTAGTCGCCCCCCCCCCCTCGAAACAGTAGTTCAAAATTAAGGACGGCTATACCTAACCCTTGGGAATTTCTGACCTAATTGATTAGCCCACGTCTCCCAAAAGGTGTCATTCATATTGAAGTTTTTAGTTTCAATTTTCAACTTATATACAGACGGCTAGAACACACATACAGACGCACTTAGAAGAATTATAATAAAACGTTAATTAAGTGATAAATGAGAACTGTATAAAAAATTTTAATTCCAGGTTGTTTTTTTATTCAGCATACAACATCAACATGATGCTAATATTCGAAGACAGCATTTATATCTATCAAACGTACGACCTTGTGTCGAGAAATTCAATTTATTTCCTTTAATAAATCTATAATTATGAGTTTGTTTGTTTGTTTGATTGTCTGTAATTAATTACGGCAAAAACGGCGCACAATACCGCCATATTTGTAATGAAATGAGAATAGAAACAGAATAAAACAAGTTTACGTTAAAATCGGG